GTGGGTTGACCCGGATGATTTCAGGCCGACCCGATTCTTGGAGGAAGGTGCACCCGGATTTCAAAGGGACAAATTTTGAGTTCCATACCGTTCGGGTCCGGTCGTAGGTCGTGCCCGGGAATGCAACTCGGGTTTGTACGCGGTGGATTTGACGGGTGGCCCATCTGCTTCACTGCTTCAACTGGGAGTTGCCTGATGGAATGAAGCCGAGTGAGTTGAACATGGATGATGTTTTTGGACTCACTGCGCCTCGAGCGGTTCGACTCGTCGCAGTGCCGAGTTATCGACTGAGTTGTCCGTTAATATAGGTGGTGTGCGAATGGAGTGTGTAAATGGAGCGAGAGAGCGCACTGCTTTCTGTTTGGGTTTGTAGACACTATAATGGTCATGGATTAATTTTTCTCATATGAACGAGAGAATCAACTAAATCATCTGAGTTGTAAACTCGGTTTCGTAATTCAAAAACGTTATTTATAATCTCTATATTTATTTATACAGAGAAATGTTTGGTAGTTGAGAAGAATAAAAATAAATATATATTTCACTTAGAAAAAAGTGAATACGTATACAAATTATTTTCTACAAAATTCTTGTATATTTATATATATATATATATATATTTATGAATTTGATTCAAATCGCAATCCTAAGAAAAATAAATAAAAATATGATACAAATAAAGCAAAAACAAAAATATTTTCATTCTAAGTATCTATCACATCTGATTAAAGGACAGATGAAAATGCACAATCCCATAACCTCTAATCAAAAGAGAAAGATACCCACCATAAACCCAATGATAGATTGAAATTTTGTGTTGAATTTTAAATTAAATATTTCTGTAATATTTTTATTAACATGCAGAAAAATTCCTGATGGGCTTATTTTTGAAGAAATGCAAATATTTTCTCATTAAATCAAAGAGAGACGTAAGGCAAAAAACCAAGTCAGCAACTAACAAAATGGGATGGCTAAGGGTCCTAAATACAGATTTATCTCATGCATCCTCCTCCCAATTTACATCTCGTTCTTATGA